TCGAGCCCAAAAAAGCTGGGTTGAAAGGGGCTAGACTTCTAAAAGTATGCGGCAGAGTGAAAGTGAAAAAAGTGCTTTCATTAACCGAGATCCAATTGTAAGAATGGAGGAAAATTTTCTGAGCTGCTTGCCATCTGAACCATTGGTGCCGGGATCTGGTCATAAATTAGCATTCTTAGTGAGACGGACTGCTGCCGTTTACATGGCAGTAGTGCCTGTCTGTCTACACGGAACCTCTTCTCAGCAGGCCACACGTTCTGACCGTCGCGTGGCCTACTTAGAAGGGGTTTGGAACGGAAGACGAGTTGTGTATGGTGGCAAGGAACTCTCACACTTGTACAGATAGGGCCTTGACTATTCAGCATCTCGGAGCAAACAGATAGTGAGGAAGTCTGGTCCAGAACTGAACGAGGAATCCATGACCACGATCATTACTGCAACGGCGCATTTTGCGAACAGCAGCCAAAAGGTCGCCTCGCAATTACCGAACAATGGTCACCTTCTTCCTTCAGGTGTATGGCCAAAGTCACCATTTTCTGTTACATTTTCACCGGACTATCTGAGCTCATGTTTCGGGAATGGGGGTAGACAATGTGCCTATGCTGGTAGAGGACTGTCTGTTCCTTTGTCCAGTAGTAAAGAGACAGGCCCCCTCAGCCCGGACGATGAGAATGCTTCGCCTTCCACCTCCACAGTTGACCTGAAGGCAGTGGATGAAATTGGTGGTGGAATGGATGTGGGCGCAGAAGCGTTTTCTCTGCTTCAGACCAGAAGATTCTGGCTGGGCACATCGGTGGCAACTTTGGTTGCTCTTGGCGGCAATTTAGGAGGCCTGACGAGTGCTGTTTTCAACACGAATCCTGACTTCTCTAGGAGTGTTCGAGCTGATCTGCTCTTCCCCGTGAAAGGATTCAAAAGATGCTTAGAAACAAGTCAAGGGTTTGGTGAGTAGAATTATTCTACTTCGCCTCTGAACATGTTCGAACGTAAACTTCAATGAGCTGTTGGTGGGATTCATTCGGAGTTTGGCACATTCTAGACCCTGCATTGTTTTGTTGACCGTGATTTGCACAATCTGGGTATACCTCACTGCAATTCCACAGTCAATCGCTTCCGTATTTGTTTATCTGCCAGTGAAGTTTCATGAGAAGTGATTGTCATGCATTAGTGTTAAATTTTATGAGACTGAAGTGCTTTGCTGTCATAGTTGGAGCGCTCAGACTATAATTATGAAGCGTTGGAAGTTATTTGATGCAACAATTGAGCTGCCATACTTCTTTTTAAGTTTACTCTGATTTGATACCATTATCATGACTCGCAGAATTTGTGTATCCGTCAAGCTGGGTTGGGGACCAGAGACTGGTGTATCGTGCCGTAGAACGCGCAGAGAGAGAAAGATCGCTTGATTTACCTCCAATTCAAGGAGAACGACAACGTACCCAGAGAAGATCTTCAGATCCAATTGTGGCATTTGGTCCACCTGGCACTGAAGGGGAATTAAACGTGAGCGTTGTTGTTGCTCCAGTTTTTCCTGGTTTTAGGTATGTTCGCTGTCCCTGAGCTCATTTTCGTGGAGGGATTGATGGGTGACATGTTTTGCTGTAATTTAGATTTTTGTTGTGTCCACTACGGTTCCCAATAGCTACACAAACAGGGGACTACCCAATCTGAAACTTAGAATTCGGCCCTATGCTGATTACTCAATCAGTCATGTCCGTTTATTCGCAGAATATACACTAGATTTGGAAATTGTATACCCTACATATACATTAGAAATATACATAGATTATACATTATACATCGCTGGGGTCTACCATGACAGTCTTTTCATATTTTTCCCCCATCTTGTAGATTTGATTCTCCCCTTGGTTCTTAGAGAAGCGAATTGGATTAGTTATGCTCCTCTGGTGAGGTCACCACTCATTACAACCATGTAATGAATGGAGACGAGGCGCTTGTCCGTTTTATGTTTGTGGCATTGAGCACCACATTATTGCTGTGCTCAAGAGATCTTGTCAGATTGATCATGTTCACGAGATATTTGTTGCCTATTTGCTTGCTGTAGACCAAACGCATCTGGGGATCTGGAGAGTGGACAATATATGAAATGGGTGTACATTTTGGTGACATCTGATTCAAGTAAAAAAATGCATAGAATGACTGAGGATTGCATACTTAGGATTGAACCCTGGTAACTTTGTTTCTATGCTTACTTTTCCTTTGTAATAAAAAATGTGACCAGTATAGTGAAGTTTTCCCCCAGTTCATCTGAGCTATATAGTTGTTTACCGTGTACTCGTCAATATGAAAATCAGCAGGAGGATCATACACCATAATTATGGAAGTTTACACGCAGTAGAAAAATTGCGTCAACTAATAGAAACATGGTATGCTACAAGTGAATATTTAAAACAGGAAATGAATCCTAATTTTCGAATGTCGAAGTAGGTCAACATTTTTATTGGCAATTATGTAGTTTTTCATGACGATGGACATGAATACTACATCAATCTAGATGCTCTTTAATTTTTCATCTTCTAATAGGATCTCACAGAGAGCAACTAAGTCTTCATTAAGTTAATCCAATCTTACGTGAGTTCTGGCCTGCTTGTCAGAGTGCTGATATCATGTTACCTATTAACACTACGTGTTTGGCAGCTTTTGCTGGCTTGGATGTAGCCTTAAGAGTTGGGTTGTAGATTCATGCCTCCATGAATCTACAAACACGTTGTTCTTGTTATACATCTATATTTCCTGCACTAAGCGTGACATGCTTTATGGAGGATTAACAAGTCGTTGGATAGTTGTGTATTTTTCTGGAATTGCTTTTGAGTCTAACTTCAAATGTCAGTGGTTAAAAAATGTATTGGGAAGCCCTCTGTATACATATCAGAGCCAAGTTTCGATCTTGGGACCTGTGGGTTATGGGCCCACCACGCTTCCGCTGCGCCACTCTGATGATTGTCGGAGGAGACTACTTGTCAGATGTCAAAATTTGCCAGAGGGCAATTTAGTTTTTTTTGTTAATTTGACACGAAAAAGAACCCGGAGCTTTCCCGGGAGAGTGCTATGTAGTGTTGATGAGTGCTATGCAGCTAAAAGTTATGAAAAAAAAACATGGATAGTGTTTTTGCAAAGGACGAGTCAAGAACATTGAAACAAAAGGCTATGGAAAGCTCTTTGTGGACATATCGGGGCCAAGTTTGACCTTGGGAACTGTGGGTTGTGGGCCCACCACGCTTCTGCTGCGCCACTCTGAGTCGTGCTGTGGGAACCGTCTGTCAGAATTCTGCAATGGCCTGTGTCTGCAAAATATTGTTTCAATGAACATAGGAATATATACACACTTTCTCTAACATTATCCCTTTAATAATTCCTCCAAAATCGAAAGAAAAAAGTGCTAGTACAAAGAGGGAAGCTTTCTGTGTGTATCAGAGCCAAGTTTCGATCTTGGGACCTGTGGGTTATGGGCCCACCACGCTTCCGCTGCGCCACTCTGATTCATGGTGTGCAATATATTTGTCAGAACTTTGGATTTTGTCTAGAAGAACATTGTGTCAATCTTGTTATGTGCTAATTTTAAACTGATGATTAAATAGATATTTTGTCCAACTTTATGTACTCTAGTTTATGTACTCTACTTCTTTAAGAGATGCAAAAGTATTGAAGGTGTAGACAAGCTCTCAAATTGTCTGAGAACCAATGTTTCGATCTTGGGACCTTTGGGTCATGGGCCCACCACGCTTCCGCTGCGCCACTCTGATTTATGGTGCAAATCAGTGGTCAAATTGCTTATATGATTTTATGACTTAAAGTTATGCTTATATGATTAGTGTGTTTAACTTCATGTACTATAGTAATTCTTTAAGAAATGCAAGACATATTGGTGGGATCAGGAAGCTCTGTGTGTCTGTCAGAACCAAGTTTCGATCTTTGCACTCGTGGAGATTTTCTGACATAGTTTTCTTTGTTACTTGAGAAGTATGGAATAAAAAGATACTGTTGAGGAAAGTAAGAGTGTGTCCGTGTGTGTGCGCGCTGTGTCCAAAATCTTATTTTGAAACCTTCTAATTATTGGCCACCAGGCTTCCGCTGTCCCTTTCTGTTTCATGCTTTTAGCACTATTGTTCATATCTCAAGATGTAGTTACTGACTAATAGCTGTGATTCCAGCATGATCGATTAAGTGATGTGCTGAATTCAATTGTGGTCTTGTATGGATAGTTTTCCTATAACTGTTAGTGATTTAGTGGTTACTTAGGAAGCAAGGAAAATACTTCAGGAATTTGAAGGACGAACGAGGTTTCAGTACTGGAAATGCGCCGATGAACTACCAGTTCCAATAGTGAAGACATGGGTAGTTCTACCATGTACAGAGAAGCCTGAGTGTTGATCTTAAGAAGCCCAGTTTTTTTTTCTTGAGGTAAGCGTTGTTTGTGTATCGTGCCAATTTCAAGTGTGGGGAGTCTGGGGACTGGGATACTTGCAGCTGCTCCACTCTGATGCGTCTTTAATTTTAGGAATTGTCAGATATCAGAGATCATGTAAGAAAATTACTGTTAGAACCAACGTCTAGACCGTCAAGAAAGCTCTCTTCTGTGCCTGCTGGCGGGGAACATCATATGTAAATCGCTTGAATTTGTCCAGAGGATTGTAGGATCAAAATGTGCAGTCGAGCCAGTCTAAACTGCTCTTGCCACAAATTAGAAACCTGCCACTGATAGTACAAAGCTAAGTAACTATCCTAGGATTTGTGAGTTTCGGGTAATGGGTCCATCTCACCTCCGCCGTGCCTCTCTGAGGCATAGTAGATATCATTTCTCGGGTTCACCTCCGCTTCATATTCACTTTCCATGACCCTAAGTTTTAAAGTAAGAAATACACAGCAAAAAGGGTGGTAAGACCCGATCAAGCCGTGCATGGATGAAGCCAAAGCATGTTCTTACTTGTAAGGGGGTGATGTACAAAAGGCAACTATTCCGCCCATCATCGTAACCTTCACGATTGACGGCTGTGGGATTTGAACCCACGCCCTTTCGGACTGGAGCCTAAATCCAGCGCCTTAGACCACTCGGCCAAACCGTCTTCTTATGAAGCAGATGAATTAGATCTCTATTCCACATGCAAAATGTGTTGTTCTAGTAACCTATAGACGTTCTGCCTATTCTCTAATTTGCAGATCGCTGGTAAATTGATCGAAGCTAACCATGAAAGTCACCAAGGCGAAAGCTGATTGTGACGCCGTAGAGCGAGGCCCTGCTGTAGCTGCTGGATGATTGAATATGGTGCCTGGAAACCTTGCGAAGTATAGTTGATAATTTGCTGTTTATTCGAATCGAAACTCGGCATTTTCTATCTATTTTCTATTCTAGTAGAGTCCAGAATGTAGCCATACCTTCTCAGAGGAGGTATAAAATGTACGCTGGGGGGATCCTGAATGTACCACCAAGAAGTCGATCTTTTAATAATAGACCTTGTCTTCACTTGGCTCGCTCTAGCATGGGTATGGGAGCACACGTGAAGATGAAGGCTGTTCGCGTGATATGATATTAGGATCTTCTCCCATTGCATTTTCCGCTCAGCGAAAGATATGCTTTCAGTATGTGAGAAGATATCTCTCAGCTGAAGATCCTTACAAGAAAGGCCAAAAGGTTGCCCATGCTTTACGTGACCAATATTAACTTTCCAGCGATTGGTGGGGATATGCATTCAAACCAAAGCTGTAAAGCTCGATAGTGTCCTGTGCATGCTTATCGACTGGGCCCTGTGCCCCTTTTAGAGGATTCATGGTTGTAGTCGTAAGAAATTTGACGCATGTGGTCCACCAAGTACCTTCTCGACTAGGGTCTCCTCGGACGGCAGTCTTCTTCCACTGTACTTAAAGCGCTCAATTCCGAATATTGTGCACTCAGTTCTCTCCCTCGAGCGCACTTTCAGCTGCCAAGTCTGCCAACGATCTCCAACCGGCCTAATCTACATTAGTTGCAGTAGCACGATTGAAGTGAACTCCAGTTTCCAGCTGCTCTCTTGACACTGAACACTGAGACCTGTGGCTCTGACACAGGTTTCTTCCCCTTTGGTTTCTTCCTTGTACGACTTGATGGGGTCGGTCTTCCCATCCTTTTTGCTATATTACTTGGTCCCCTTTAAACTCTGACACATGCTGAAGTGCTCGAACGGATGTACTTTTCTAGGTCGGAAATGTTTCTCAGGACAATAAAGAAGGGAGTGAAGAACTCACTTCGCTATTATTCTTTACTGGCAACCTCACTCATCTCCATCTCTCTTTCTTACCGGAGACTCTATGGTGGGAGGAGCAACGTCTACTTGTCTTCCTAGTGTCTTGAGATTGCATCTTCGACTTTCATATGCGCTGGGCATGCGCATCGAGAATGTGTTACACAGATTTCTTGATCACCAGTTGTCTTCACCTCAGACGAAAGTTGCAGGCCAAGCGTGTGCGTGTGTTTGTTCATGGGCATGGCGTCTGTGGACTCTCGTGGGCCGTGACGACATTTGCTGGAAATAGACTCTACTTCCAGTCTGAACTGGAGTCTACGTTCCTGATGAACAGACAGACGGGAGCGCTGTCAGTTCTTATTCTCGTTGCAACCTCGACGTCGAGTGTTTTGTGTAGGAGGATGTCTGCGTTTACATCTTTGGATCGGTGGTCACGAAGCTTCAGATATCCAGATTGTTTTCTTCCATGGGCCTGGGTAGAGAATCTCCATGGTCCGTGGAAGAAGACAATCTGCATGTCATGCATCGTCCAGTGGTGAGAGACCAGAAGGTTTCAAGAAGACAGCAGAATAATTTCAAGATTGTGGGCTGAACGTCGATGCCGTAGTAAATCTGTATCGCTTGATAATTGTTCAAGGTATTGAGTGGAGCCGAAATAGGCACGAGCTTGTTCCCATAGAAGTGGGTCGAGATAGGCCCGCTCGGGGCAAGGTGGAAATCTTCAACCGCGCATGAAATTTCTGACAGCTCCATTGTGCTTGCTTTCCAGCCTACAGAAAATCGGAGGGCCGCAGGAGGCGGGCGAGCGCATCCTGAACAAGTTCACCGCACCAGAAGGATCGAACAAAGTGGCAACTCTTTTGACCGCTCAACAAAGATCTGATGGAGCAAACCTGTACTACACTCTAGAGTTCACCGTCAAGGGCCCCACATTCTTCAGGCACAACTTGTCTGTCTACAGCACTAGTAACAACCTTTTGTTCTCCCTCAATGCCCAATCTCCAGAGAAAGAGTGGTCACGCGTCCAAAACGACTTCATCGAGATTGCCAATTCCTTCAAACTACTCACCACCTAATTCAATAAATTTGTAGAAGATGTGTCTATTGCAGTCTGGATATTGTATGGATATAATCGCAAGGAAAGAGAATGACATGTGACAGGCTCAACAAATTTGGTAAGCGTTTTTGTCCGCAAGCAATCCGCACCCACCAACTCAGTCTTATAATCAGCGTCTTATAATCAGTCTTGGTCTGCACACACCTCTTGTGGCTAACTCCAGGAACCTCCATCAAATCTTGAAGAATTAAAACTGGATCGCAAGGTTTGGCTTGTAGTGAAGGTGAGCCAATTAGACTCGTATCGTTCTCCCTGGTGAAAATGGAAGATCCATTGTAAGAGCGGGGGATACTTTCTTCACCACAAGTAGCTATTTAGGCAAACGCCGCCGCATGATGTTAAAATGGCGACTGAAGGAACTCTTCTTTGAAGCTGGAGAACGCGAGGTTATGGAAATGAACTGTGTGTATTACAAACCAATATTTTCGTATTGCAACGAGCCCTCTATTGACTCCGTGAGCATCATCGCTCTACAAGGGTTCGTGGACAGCATGTTGATGCCGACAGTGTCATATCAAATCGTGATAGCCGGAATCGCTCATCTCGCAGTCGCAATCGACAGAGTTTTCTATCAACGAGTGATGCACATGATTTCCCAAATATCTTCGGTTAAGAACTGTCTTTCAGACCGAGAAGAAAGTGGACCAGGCAATTATAATTCAATCTTGCCACTAGTGTGAGGAGTTGGTTTAAGAATAGCAAAGGCTGATTATTCAAGTACTATAGATTGTGGATTATTCAACTGCAGCGTGCTATATCAATTTGATTTACATGAATTTAAACGCTAGAATCTGGAAGTATATAAAAGTGGCAAATGTTACAAAAGTGCAAGATAATAAATAACAGATTATATGTATTATACTTATAAGATATATTCCAAAAAAACCTTTTTTATTCTCTAAATAATAGATAATTTCTAAGAACACTGGAATTGTAAAGTAGGCTAAGGATGAATTCAAAACTTCTGAAATTCAATACATTACACTTATGTTATTTAACCATCTTTTATACTTTTAAAACCAAGATTGAAAAAAATAAAATATGATAAACGACAAGATTTGCAGTTTGCAGGTAGTGGGAGAATTGCCGGAGAAATACCAAGACCAACGGGCTTGTAAATTGAAGGTATCTAGTGTTCAATCCAAACCCTTTATGCCATAATCTTTGCTTCACCACCGTTTATCTTAGGCAAAAATATTGATTTCTACAACATCACCATAAGCAAAAAAAGAGATAACTAACAAACAAACGAAAAAAAAAACCACTAATTTATTCTAACATTCACAACTCTTCCAAAACCACTTTCTATTAGATTGACTTGTAAACGAGGGGACCATTGATATTTGATGGGCTAGGGATGAATATTATAAAAATGTCCGATAATTTTACATAATTTATATTATATATTTACTAATGAAATCTATACATGCATAACATTTGATAGACATTCACAAATCCTCCAAAGTCACTTTCTGAGCCTTATCATTGAGCGGACCATTAACATTTGATGGGCTCGTGGTCAATATAATCTTAAAAAAATTAGTTTACATAGTTTATTATACATATTTACTAATGACATCTCTACATACATAACATTTGATAGACATGTCTTGATTCAAGCAATCTTAACCAAGTAGAGACACTCCATGCCCACATTTATTACCACATTACCGCTCAAGGTTTAACTAGATAATGCATCAACTAGAGAATTGGAACTACTTTAATGGAGAAAACATCATGAGACAATCTTTAAATCTATATAAAAATATATTTTTATATCCACAACATATAGAGCTCGCATCCGTGCTCTGACAAGGGTGTCGGCCTATGATTGATTGTGAGGACTTTTATCTACTCGCTTTGTATCGCACATACTACCCTATAATAATGTTCCGATTTTGATTAGTATTGATTCCAACTATCTACGTCTAGTTTGCTCACTTTAAGATTGGGCATTTGTTAGACAAATCATGTACAACCTAGCGTGTTGTTCCTTTGATGTTAGAGGATAGTCAAACATGATGAAATTAGAAAGGTGGTAGATGCATTAGCTTGAGAGAATGTATCATTATTCTAGATTGATATGATGACATCTAGATCATTTATGCAAGCCAACCTATATATGACACAAGATATAATTTTGTGGTAAATATGATTATTCCAATTTCAACACAAGATACTATGAACATGATTTGTCATCCAACTTAAGGAGCTAAAAAACTTCAAGAGCCCAACTTGAGGAGCGTCAACATTAAAGTCCACAAGAATAAAGCTTTGTAGGAGAGACATGTTCTTTTACCTTGGATATGGATATGCATGAAGCCTTGGACATGATATGGATATTTATGCTTGAGATAGCAAACAATTTTATCATAAGACTCAACATGGATCACATTTTTGATAATTTTATACCCTTCAATTTTCATGATAACATATTAGATTTGCATAGTGAACATCAGCTACAGTTATAGATATGAAGATTTTTATCACCGTGGATGCATGTGATGCCCAATATATATTATATCCTACCATTTGATTGCATAAGATATTTGAGAAGCAGTGGAGGAGATAGATATTTATCAAGGATATATCAATTTTTTTTTTCCCTAAAACTTCACGTGAAACTTTCCTCAACCTTCTTGATATGTTGTAATAGCATGGTAATACATTACTAAGTTGAATTCAGGTATAAGAGTTCGTTCCCAAGGGAATGAGGTACTCAAATAATC